CTCTATAGATCAGAAGCTTGATTCTATGACTGGGAAAAGGATGAAATTTATTGATACTAAGCCATGAACTTGAAGTCCTACACAATTCTTTGCGGGAAATACTAAAATAATGGTTTTTGTTTCCTTTACACTCCAAATGAGCCAAATGAGTTTAGGAATATTACAATTTCAACAGTATTTAAAAAAAAGATTTTATTTATTTATATTTAGAGAAAGGAAGGGAGGGAGATAGAGAGGAAAAGAAACATCAATGTGTGGTTGCCTCATATACATCCCCCACTGGGGACCTGGTCTGTGACCCAAGCATGTGCCCTGACTGGGAATTGAACTGGTGACCCTTTGGTTTGCAGGCTGGCACTCAGTCCACTCAGCCACACCAGCCAGGACTAACGGTATTTTCAAATCTTTTTCGTTAAGATATCAGATTCACTAATAAGCTGCCTCTACACCCACGACAAAGTTTAACATTTTCAGAATTTTAATACACCATTGACAGTCCCTTAATATTATTTCCTGCAAAATGAACACCTAAAAAAAAGGGTCATATTGATAGGGGACTCAAAACTTGGAAAATTTTAGCTTAAGGTAAATAGCCATAAATCTAGCAAGTAATGCACATGTTAAGCTCTTTGTTTCAGAAACTACAGATAAGGCCCATCTGGCACCTGAGAAAAAGCAGCTGACCTCCTGGGGTGCTGGCTAAAGATTACAGCTTGGAGACATCTGTATGGGGAAGAAGCAGGCGACTACCCTCCCACTTGGAGACAGCTAATTGCCATGGATAGAAGTGCTGCAGCTGGGAACTTCAAGGACTCTCTCACTGACTTCTTTTTTGTCTTCCCCAACCTCCCTTATAAAAGATCTGGCCAGGAAAGAAAGGGGAAGATGGTTTGTTAGGGTATGAACCCGCCATCTTCTCGGATCGTCGGCCATCTGAATAAAGCGTCTATAAAAGATTCAATCACTGTCATTGCTTATTGGATTTGGTAGTGACAGGCAGCCCGAATGCCGTTGTCTTTTCTGGTTAGAATATTAGTCTTAATCATATCTGTATTTCAAAACCCTCCATCATTTCCATTTTTTAAATACTCCTATCCTGCATTCTCTGCAAACTGTCAGTAATCCCTCTAGCACTTACCATCAAAAGCACTTTCTTCAGGGCAGAGCACACTCATTACACTCTACTATGCAAAACTGTAAAGTTTACTTCATTTATTCATTGCACAAATATTTGTTGAGCATCTCTTGTGTCTGGCACTGTTTTAGGCACTGCAGAAAAAAGGAAAATTTCCTACACTTATTGAGCTTACATTTATGTAAGGATATATGGGAGAATAAATTTTTTTAAATGCAAGCATAATAGCTACAAATAAACCTGAGAAACAGGAATTACAGAAAGAGGGGTGCTCTTTGGCGAAGACTCTCCAAGGAGGTGCCTTTGAAGTGATGACTGAAAGAAGAACTAGACATGAAAAGATGTGTGCGAGATGAATTCCAGGCAGCTGGAACAGCGTGTGTAAAGGACTTGAGGTTGGAGAAAACTTAAGTCAACAGAAAGACCAGCTGGGTTGCAACTTCTCTCCTACTTGGGGGCAAAAACTATGTTTTATTAATACTTGTAGGGGCTCAGCCTCTATTAAAAATATGTTCAAAAGGGGTTATTAAATAGTAAATACTGAGTGTTGGCTACTTGCCTAATGACTGAACAAAATCATTGCCTATTCGTCCCCTCTTTGGTATGAGTGTACTGTTGGCTATTTCAGATCCCTCCATTGTCAAGGCATCCGCAAGCCAATGGGGCATGCCTGTCTCACAGACTAGAGACCTGAAGTAAAAGCCTTTAGTAATCCTATACATATTTTAGGAATGGGGGCGAGAAGGTGGTCTAACAAAGGTACCAAATATTTGAAAAACTGAACTCCAAACTCTGCTCCTTGGCAGGAACTAAAACCCAGGCAATGAGGATATACTTTTAAACCTCTCAGTACAAGGCTGGCGGTAAGGACTCAGTACGGACTTCAACAGGAACAGAGAAGCACGTCCACCATCCACTCATTAAACACTGATCCGGCAGAAGTGTCGAAAAACACTCCTGGTTCCCAACCTGTTTGCTCCTACTCTGGGAAACAGCTACAGAACAGGAAGTCACCCAGCACACAGAAGCCATGGCATAAGTAACGATGGGTGGGGAGTACCAGGACGAAGCACGTGGGCTGGACCCTGTAGCAAACCGGCCCAGCGATGTATGGGAGCCGTTAAAGGTTTCGGGATAAAGGCCACTTTTCTCTTCGGGGCAAGAGTTTAGGGAGAGTCTGGAGCAAAGCAAGAAGTGGGAAAGGGACCCTCCGCCGGACAGGGCCACTGGGAGGAAAGAGAACGCAGCAGCGTTCCCTAAAAACCAGCCCCAGTAGTGGGGGCGGGGCTGGCACGACCGAAGCGCAGGTCCCGCCTGGCTCCAGCCGCGCTCCCGCGGGTAGGATCCGTAATGGAGGTTCTGCGGGCGCGCCATGGCCTCAGACCGCGGCTGGAACACCTTCCTGGTCCACACTGCCCCTCCGGGCGGGATGGGGTGTCTGGACGCCGGGTCGGACCGGGCCGAGGGCTGGTGGCGGAGCCCGGGCGGCTGCGCGGAGGCCGCGCACTTACCCGGGGCCCGGGAGCGTGGGCGCGGTGTGGACCGAGCGGCGAGCGGTTGAGTGCACTGCTCCGGGTGTAGGAGGGTGGCAGCGGCGAGAGTCACACGGAAGAGCCAGCTGCAAGAGCGGCCTAACATAGGCAACGCTATCCGCGTCTAGGGCCCACAGCGATCGAGTGGACTCGCCTACGACCAGGCTCGCACACGTGCGGCGCAGGGACGCGCCGATGAGGGCGGGCTCCGCCCCGGGGCGGAGCCGGCCCTCAGCCGCCGGTCCCACCCACTTCCCCGCCGCGGAACCTCTGGAGCAGCCAGTGCGCAGACTTTGGGGCCGCACTCTTTGGCCTTCCATGCTGCGAGGTGGGAAGCTTACGGTGCCACTTTCACTCAGGGAACTTCTCAGCCGGTGGCACCCAGACTTTGGCGAGGGCGAAAAGGGATTTTACAGGCACCAAAGAGTCCTTTACGTGATTTCTAAAGCAGCGATTGCCTTAGGAATTTTAGTTGCATTCTAATAAAGCTTTCTTCCACAGCTGGTACTCTTTCCCACTTCTCCCATTACGTGTTTTCCCCTCCTCAAAGGCAGTCATTTCATCTTTCAACTGGTTATTTTGATATTTATCTTCATTTTCTCTATATTTGTATTGCTATTTCTTGGCTTTTCACTATAAGGTATTATCCTTTGGCTTCAGTTAATGAAAAATAAGGATTTTTGCATCTACAATATGCTATTACAGATCCACTTTTTAAAAGGTTTTCTGTGACAATACAGCACACCTCTTAGTTTCATCTTTCTGAAGATCACTCTCCTGGAGCCTCTGACCTGCACCAGTCTATGTCTACGCACAGTTGTCAGCATCACTTCATTTTTCTTCCCTGTTTGTATCTTGTGTTTCCTATTTCCTATGTCGTCTTTTTTTATTTAGTCCTTCATTTTAGTGGAGTGCAACCTCCAGTAGCTTCCTGAAAAAGAAAAAGTAAATGAAACAAAAAATTTTGAGGTCTTGAATGTCTAAACATACCTTTATTCTTTACCCACATTTGATTGGTAGTTTACTACTCAAGTAAAAAAGTCCAGCTTGAAATAAAATTCTTCTTGAAATTTGATAGAATTGCTCCCATGTCTTCTAGCTTTCTTTGTGACTGTTGAGAAATTGAAAGATATCCTGAGTCTTGACCCTTTGTTTTTCTCTGAAAGCTTAGGGTTGTCTTTTTGCCATCAGTGTTCTGCAGTTTCACAATGATGACCCTTCGGTTTAGTCAACTTTTATTCATTGTGCTGGACACATAGTGGGCCCTTTCAATCTGGCATTCATGACTTTGGAAACATTTTCTTGAATTATTTTGTTGATGATCACTGCTTCCTCTAACATTTGTTATTGTTTTTTCTCTTATTTTTCAGATTTTGGACCCCTTTGAGTGGCCCTGTAATTCGTTATTTTTTCTTTCTTATCTTCATTTCATTGTCCTTTTGCTTTTGCCCCCATCGCCCATTTTCTAACTCTTTCATTGAACTTTTCATTTTTGCTATCATATTTTTGCCTCTGAATGCTTCTTTTTAAATAGTAATCTGTTATTATGGTTGCAATAGTATCTCATATCTCAGGATATTGATTATACATATAATTTTTTTTAAAGTTTCCTCCTCACTGAATGTTTTCTGTTTCCTAAGAGTTGCTGCCCTCCCCCTGTCCCCCACCCCCACCCCGTTTATGTCTCTATGGTGCCACCTTCCATGTAGTTTCTGAAGTTGTCAAATCCCTGGGTCCTCTACTTACCTCTTGCTGTCGGGTAACTCCTGTTCCTTCTCCCCAGCAAAGGGCAGGTTTTGGGGCGACCCCTGCACTGGGTAGAGTGCATATTAGATTCTGCGTCCTTTTCCTCAATTCAGCTTCCAGGACATTTACAACCAGATCTGTACCCTCCCTGCAGGAAATTTTAGGGTCTTCTCTAGTTGACTAATCAGCCTTAAAAGAAAAGATACAAAGATAATCACATTGGAAATACACCAACTAAACGGCCCAACCAAATTACATTAAAGCTACTCAACAAGCCCCTTCACTTCCCCAAACAGATGAAATATCATTTAAAATATAAATCGAAATGATTCATATTGAATTGATGGTGTGGACGAGGGGATACTTTCAAGCTCTATCATTAAGGGTGAGGTAGAGGAGGTTTTACGGAGGTTGGGAAGGACCTCCTTTCTCCGGAGGGCCTCCGGGGAGAGCCGACTTCCAGAGCGGCCTACTCGGCGCCTGACCTGCAGGGGGCGCCACTGCGCACGACCGGCGGCTGCGCGGGAAGGGCCTCTCTGGAAGTAAAGGAAGAAAGCAAAGAGACGGGAGGAAGTCGCTGTGACGCTCAGCCCCGCAGTCTCTGAGGCGGAGCTGGTGTGCTGTCTGGAACCTGACTCCAGGCTCCAGGGCCACGCTGGCTGTGCTTGGAGCCGAGGGCTTGCGAGAAGGCAGGATGCTCCTGGCAGGCCCTATCGGCGAGGGGCCGGCAACCTCGGTGAGGCAGCCCTGGTGGCCCGGGGAGAGACCGCTGGTGACCCAGTGAGGTGGCACAGATCTCGACTTGGGGACATTGTTTCAGTGAGGCAGGCTTGAGGTCGTGGTTCCGGTGGCCTGGGGGAGATGGCCCTTGCAACCTGGTGAGGTGGCATAGACGTACCAGGGGAGGTAGTCCCAATGCGGTAGTTGTGGCGATCCCGGAGAGATGACACATCCTATTGGGGAGGTAGCTCTGGCGGCTGGGCAAGGTAACGCGAGCGGTCCTGGGGAGGTGACTGTGGTGGACGCAGGGAGGTGGCTCTTTTTAGAACCTGGATCAGAGGGCCCTGGCCGCTCAGGAAGGCCCCAGGGGAAGGGGTTTGGGACCAGTGGGTATCCTCCGGGAACCTGGTAAGAGTTCCACTTATCACTTCAGTCTTAATGTGTTTGTCACGCCTGTTCTCCTTCTAGTGCCGCTCTGAAAGTGGTGATGAAAGAAAGGACGTGGAGGAGAAAAGTAAGCAGACTCCATACGCCTTAGCACTGTGTACCAAGCCGTCTCTTTAAACTCAGCCCTCCAGGGTTTGCATCCGAGAAGGGTTATTTATTTACTTATTTATTTAGTTCCTTTCATTCATTCATTTATTATCCCCACCCGAGGATATTTTTTCATTGCTTTTAGAGAAAGGAAGGGACAAAGTAAGGGAGAGAGAGAGAGAAACATCTATTGGTTGCCTTTTGAAAGCACCCTGACCAGGCATCGAATCCGCAACCTTTTGATTATGGGACAATGCTCCAGCCAACTGAACCACCCAGCCAGGCCCCAAGAAAGGTCGTTTAGATGAAGTGTGTGTGTATATTTTCTGTACAGTAAGATTGCAGAGTATTAAATCCTGATTATCATTATACATATATTTTTGTTTTTCTAAAATTATAAAATATGGGATGATATAGGAAAGAACACTTCCTGACCCCAACCTAGTGTACAGACTTGTATGGTTTCACTGGAGTTCTGCCCATCATACTGGATTCATAATAATTGAGGTCTGCCTGTTATTTTAATGAAACACCAACTTAGTAAGCATCAGGAATTTGGAGGGGCTGATGATCTAGGGGAGGTGACCAATGCCTTAATTGGGTGCAAAGGAATCAAATGATCACTGTTCAGTTGTACTTGACCAGTGAATTTGCACTTAAAAATTGATCTGAGAAGAACACAGTGGATAACTTGGTTCCTAGATCTTGGACAGGACAAGGGAGGGGGAAAGATTAATACCTCCATTTCCTGTTAAGGACAGGAGCATATGTCAGGGATGGGGACATTTGTCATTTTACTGCTAAATGTTTACCATTGCTAAACATGGCAGGCTTTTGGACATTAAGGATTCTTCAGGGGCTTTTGAGTGAAATTTATTGGGGGAGGAAGGGAAAAGCATGAAACTGCCATTCTATCAGAAGGATTTTTGTTTTGATCATGGCAAATAGCCTGGGAATGAGAGGTAAAAGGAAGGGTGTCCATGTTATTGTACTATGTTAGCTTTAGGAGCTGGGCTTGCCCTTTACATTGCCTACTGATATAATCTGCATCAGAAAGAAAGCTCTAAGTTGTTCATAGCATTTGACAGATCAGAGCTGCCAAACTCAGCTCCTTTTCCTTAAAGTATTTGAGAGTACCCCATATCTTTCAGTTAAACCCTTCCCTTTTTCACCTTTGCTCGTTCAGATGCCTGGGGGTTGATGCCTGTTGAGATGTCATGTTAATAAAATGATAGACACAGACTGTAGACTTTGTCCTTGGCCCTCCTGTGGTGTGAGCAACTTCTTCACAATTAGCAGTACTCTTTACAAAAAAAAAAACACAACACAGAAAAGGAGAGGTATAAAACCCCATAAGACACTAGTGTGCTATTTTAAAGAATGATATTCAACTAAGAATGTGCTTCATTTAAATGGTAATATCAAAAGGGTATAACTTTTAAAAAAGTGAAGATAGAATTTACTCCCTAAGCTACAGCAACCTTAGCATTCACAAATATTCCCTCTGCATACAGCTGTGTCTGTGTCTGCAGGTATACCACACAACCCACCTGTTTTATTTAAGATACATTTAAAAAAGAAGACATTGTGAGTCCTGTATGTAACAGCAGATGGTTTTCTCTGCTGATATGTGAAAGAGAAGAAAATAAGAATATTGGGTTGAGAGTCAGAACACATGGATTTTAGTCCCATTTACTACCTGTAAGTGTAGGTGGAAAATGTTATAACTTATAGTTGGGAAGTTGAAGCATGGACTTAAAATAGTTTTGCTTCTACCTGCAAGTGGGCTACTGATTCTCATACCATGTGAACAGGATTTCAGTTCTTACAAACTGAATAAAACAAAATTTATTTTGGGGGGTTGAGGAGAGAAACTTACCCAGTACTAAACACACAGGTATATATTTTGTTAATCTTTTTATAAATAGTTAAGCAGTATATGAAAGTTAAATTTTCAGTTTAGGTACATGTTTATTCATATTTTCATTTTAACAAGTGACATGTTTTGTAATGGGGCTGATTGTAATCTAGCCTTTAGTTGTTACTTTCTTGAAACTTCATTTTTTGTAAAGAGCCAATTTCTACAAGGGCAGTTCCAAGGAAAGAAGTGAAGTCCAACCAATACCACTCCCCAGGGAGGCTCTGTATTTCCCCCAATTCTATCTTTCATGCACACACCTTTTTATTATTATTATTATTATTTTTACTGATTAATTTTAGAGAGAGGGAAAATCAATTTTGTTGTTCCACTTACTTATGCATTCATTGGTTGCTTCTTTTATGTGCCCTGACCAGGGATTGAACCCACAACTTTGGTGGATTGGGAAACACTAACCAACTGAGTTACCTGACCAGGGTTCTCCACCCCCCCCGCCAAAAGAAATTATAATAGTCTTTGTTTCTAAATATATGCTAGTTCAATCAAACCTTTAATTTGTTCATAAATTCACCATTAATGGCTTGTTTAGAGAGGACCAAATCCTTCAGGCAAACCTGAAGTAGAGAAATGCACTGTACATTCATGTTTATTCTAATGTTTGGTTTCCATGAAATCCATGCTTACTTTCTCTGGAGCCTTATTTTATAGCATTTATTTTCATTTGGAGATCACTCTAAATTTTTATATTGTTTTTGTTTTCAGTTTTAATTTCTAGGTACTACTCAAATCTAGGGAGATTAGGCCCTGTATATGGGATAATTCAAGTTGTGGGCTGAGTAGAATTGAGCATATTTAATATCAGAGAATTTAATAGCTGCACAGTGAAATGGAAGTACCATTATACCAAGTTTGACCCAAACCTAAACAACTCCAGGAAGAAGCAAACCATAGTAACCAAAAGGGGTTAGCTTACACATGGAAGCAGGTACTTCAAAGAGAAATAGTTTATCTTGGCACACTGGGCTGGGGTGTAGTGGAAGGAGAAAGATACAGCAGCCAACTGTGAGTCATGTTACTCCTACCTTCTTTGCTAAGAAGCAACTGTGAACCTTCAGTTTTCTTTGGGGTTCAGGGCATGGTCAGGAAGCCACCCTGGCACAGACAGTCAGCAAAGGTATAGCTGGAGATACTCTGGAAAAGCAGAGCAGTGCCATTAGTTCATAAATTTAGGACAGTGGAAAATAATTTAATTCCTTTGCAATGGATTACGTGTTTACTAGAAATTTATTTTCTAAATATATTGTTTAAATGAAACTGGCAAATTAGTATAAGGAGTAGACTCTGGGAAATAAGACTTACTAAATGGGATGAGAGCAGAGCTACCCAAAGCTAGTAAGTGTTGCCTCTGCCTCCACACTTCTCCAAGAAATAGCCTCAGGGTTCCAAATCATCTGTTTTTGTCACATTTAATAAGTCCAATGTGAATTAGTTCAAGACTAGTTTATTTGCCGTGAAGACAATCTCACTTTAGACTGTGCAATTTAGTGGATGCATCAGCCATTTAGAGTTTTTCCTTGTATTTTCTCACAGATTTACTTAAAACAATCTTTTTTCTGTTTCTCACATGGACAACTTTTGTACAATGACATTTAAAGGTTTTAAAACATTTTTACTCTTATATAAGGAGTTTTTACTCATTGGTCACCATTTCAAATTTTTTCATATGCTTTAAGTCCTTCAATACTATTTTTTTTTCTTCTTTTAACATCTTGAAACCAGGGTCCTCCTTTGGTATTATTTAGACCATACCATCTGGTTCCTTACAGATTTTGAAAATATATTACTAATTTAATAAAAACAGCACCAATAAAATCAGATTAGACCTTTTTTCCCCCATTAATAAAGTAGATTCCTAAGAAATAAAGTCTTCTGGAAAGTTTAACATCTGTTTGTAACTGCATTATCATGACAACATCTATTAAAACCTGTAGTTATTAGGACTTTAGGAATTTCTCCTTCACTCTGAGGCATTTCCTGAGCTCTTACGCATTTTGTAATACTTGGTCCATAGATTGCTTTATAGCTATTCCTTTGGGCATTTTTGTGTGTGCTATACACACAAAAAATATATGTAGATATACACTAAAATACACCCAAGAGAATATATATATTCTCACACACACATATGCATATATGTGTATACACACTGTATATTCATTTGGGTATTTTTATGTATGTGCATATTTGTGTATGGATATATGTACACACACATACTATATATAATATATAGTATACATGTATATAATATATACCATATATGGATGTTTTACTATATATGGTATATATATTTATACTACATACACGGGCATATTTGTGTATATACATATTTGGGTGTATGTGTACACATATATACTATATTATATAGTATAGTGTGTCTATACAGTACGTACATGTACTATACTATGTGTATACTATGTCGTATATAGTGTATAATATATATATATAGTATAGCATAGTGTATAATATATATAGTGTGTGTATATAGTGTGTGTGTACATATATACATGTATATATGTATGCCAGAAGGTATCCAGCCACGTAATATGAAAAATAGAGACATTTATTGAAGAAAATACAAGCTACAAGAAACATTGTACATAGGACAATGATGCCTCAGTCCCCTTCAAAGTAGGCACCTTAGGACCTCACACAGTTCTTCCAGTCACTGTCAGCTTCCCTGTCGTATTTTCCTGAATCTCATTGATGGTCTGAAATCTCTTCCCTTTCAAAGGTGATTTTGGTTTTGGGAAAAGCCAAAAGTTGTAGGGTGCTAAATCTGGGTTGTAGGGGGTGCTGAGACACCTGGGTGATTCGATGTTTTCCTAAAACACTCTGCACGAGACATGATGCATGAGTGGGTATGTTGTTGTGATAGAGCTGCCAATCACCAGTTGCCCATAGCTCTGGCCTTCTGAATTATCTAAATAGTTTCCGCGGAGGAATGTTCAAGCTTAACACAAAATTTGATGCATATTTGTTGCTCTACTTGCTTAGTCATTTTGAAATCTATGGCCACACAGTAACATGCTCACCCAGCAGCGTCTACTGCCCCCACTGACCAGAACAGTGAAGTTGTCTTTGTTCATGCATGTGCGTTCTTGTCCACTTTTCTTGACTGCCAGGTTACATAGATGTTGCATAAACGGTACTCGTTTTATTAATAGTGGCTGGACATTTTCTGGACAAACCATACATACACTCCATTGGTCATATATAGTTTTTTTCTTTAAATTATTAACTTCTGAAGGTGGATATATTGCCTTGTGTATCTTTTGGATTTCTGTTAACTCTAGATGGTTGCTGGTATTGAATAATTGTTTTTCTTTCATTTTAGGTGACATAAATATTGTAGCTCTTGTTGGAAATGAACAAATCGGTAAAGGTACAGATAATGGTGATCTTCCTTCCTATGTGTCTGCATTTATAGAAAAGGAAGTTGGAAATGACCTTAAATCATTAAAGAAACTTGATAAACTCATAGAACAGATGACGGAAAGTAAAATGCAGTTAGAAGAACAGGCAAGTATTAAAACTCACTGGAATAATATCAGTAGTATACTCATAGTAGTATATACATAGTAGTATACTCATAGTCCAAAAACATGGTAAATTCATTGCACGTATGCACTAATAGGGGAAGAACTTGAAATTAAGTATAACATTAACAATGGTTATTTCTATGTGGTTTTAACATTTATTTTCTTTATATCTTTCTGTATTTTTAAGATTTCTTTACAGTGAACATATTACTTAAAATAATTTTTTTAAAATCCCCATGATTGAAATCTTAAAAAAATAAATGGGTCTCTATACTTGAAACAGTGTTTGCTGAAGATGAGATTTGTATTGTGTAACTACTAAATTGGGTTAAGTACACTCTGCAAGAGTATATTGGTGTGTTAGCTCCAGGTTGTCATTCATTTTATGTTTTCCTTGCTCTAGCACCTCAGGTTTTTCCATCTTCCTGTGCTTTCATCACATGTATTGTTAAGCTTTATGTTTAGCCCAGCCCTGTCCTCTTTTGTACTCCTGTAAGCAAGTTGTTGTGGGCTCTCCTGGAGGAAATTGTACAGCTGAGTGGAGTCATGCAGCCCTTATGTGTGGTCTTCTGTTCCACTGATTGTCCTTTCATGAGAAAGGTGACTCCTCTGCTATTCCTGTCCACTGTTCTTCCAAATTCTCCCCAAGACCTACCCAACCTAGCTGCTCTGTCCTTTTCCCAAACAAAAAACTGTGGCCTTCTAGCATAAATCAATTGCACAGTACCTCAGATTCCACAAACTGACTTGTCATCATTACTACTTCTTAATTCAGCAGAGGATCAAGGAAGGGTAGTCCTTGTGCCCCGATCCTGCCTGCCAGCTCTGTGAACTTGCTTCAGTCTTTCATAATTTTATCCTTTGCTTTTCAAATAGTCCTGTCCCCTCAGCATGTGGAAATACCCAGATCTTTCCCTTAAAACTTAGACAACAAAACACCCTCCCCTTTTTTTAGTAGGCGTTAGTCCCTTCCTTTTACTTTTGGCGTCTTCAGTCAATTTACTTTACATCTGTCTCCACTTCCTACTTTTCTTGTTTTTAAATCCTCACTGAGGATATGTTTATTGATTTTTAAATTTTTTAAAGATTTTTAATTTATTTTAGATAGAAGGGAAGTTGGGGAGAGAAAGAGAAGGAGGGAAACATCGATGTACTAGAGATACATCGATCAGTTGCCTCTTGCACGCCCCCAACTAGTGACTTGGTGTGCAACCCAGGCATGTGCCCTGACTAGAAATTGAACCAGTGACCTTTCAGTTCTCAGATCAGCACTCAACCCACTGAACCACACCAGCCAGGGCTCCACTTCCTAATATTCCATTTGCTCTGTGACCCACTGGAATCAGGCTTGAAACCCTGATGACCATGGAAGCTTTTGCTGAAGTCATCAATTGAACCTTAAATTCAGCATGTCCAAAACTGTACTGATCCATCTCTTAAAATGCTTCTCCGTCTTGGAAAATAGCATCTGTCACTCAGGCCTGAAACCCAGGAGCCTTCCAAGATTGCTCTCCATCGTCTTTACTCTTCCCCAAAACCAAGACATCCGAGTTTTGCTTCCTTAACATCTTCCACCACCTCATTTTAGGGCTTCATTCTCTCTTGCATTTGATGGTAGTGTGCCCTCTATGTATTCTTCATAGTGCCACAGTTTCTTTTTTATTCCTTACAGTAATGTTGTTATATGTAAATAAATCAAATATTATAAAATATAGTTATATAATTAACCTATTTTTTTGTATATGCATAGCTTAACTTTTTAAAAAAGATTTTATTTATTTATTTTAAGACAGGGGAAGGGAGGGGGAAAGAGGGAGAGAAACATCAATGTGTGCTTACCTCTTGTGGGCCCCCTTCTGGGGACCACCTGCAACCCAGGCAGTGCCCTAATTGGGAATAGAACCAGTGACCCTTTGGTTCTCAGGCCGGCACTCAATCCACTGAGCCATGCCTGCATAGCTTAACTTTTTGTGATTAATATAATATGGGCCTTATTTCTCCATCAATATAGGGAGCTACCTATATTGAATATAATTTTTTTAATTTTTTAATATATATTTTATTGATTACTCTATTACAATTGTCCCAATTTTCTCCCCTTTGTCCCCCTCCACCCAGTATCCTCCTTCCCTCAAGCAATTCCCCCCTGCCCCACTTAGTGCATGTACATGGGTCCTGCATGTAAGTTCTTTGGCTTCTGCATTTCCTATACTATTCTTAACCTCCCCATCTATTTTGTTCATACCAATTATGCTTCTTGATCCCTGTGTCATTTCCCCCTTTTTCTCCCTTCCCCGTTTTCCCTTCCTCCTTCCCCCTACCAGCTGATAGCCCTCCATACCTATGATTCTGTTCCTGTTCTGGTTATTTGTTTCACTTGTTTTTTTTTTCTTTTAGATTCAGTTATTGATGGTTGTAAATGTGTTGCCTTTTTTTGTTCATGGTTTTGATCTTTTTTCTTCTTTTTTTTAAAGGATTTTATTTATTTATACAGAGGGGAACAAAGGGAGAAAGAGAAAGAAACATTGATGTGAGAGAGAGATATCAATCAGTTGCCTCTTGCATGCCCCCAACTGGGGACCTGGCCCACAACCCAGGCACGTGCCCTGACTGGGAATCGAACTGGTGACCCATTGTTTGCAGGCTTGTGCTCAGTCTACTGAGCCACACCAGTTAGGGCAGGGTCCCTTTTATTTCATCAATCTACTGTTGTAATATTTGCTGGTATCTTTCTTCCATAATAACTGAGCTTAAGGGCAGATGCTGTGTCTTATTTATGTCTATCCCTAGCACAATGCTTGCTACAGTGTAAGTGTCTAATCAGTGTTGATTAAATTGAAATTCTTCTATAATATTTTTTTATATTGTAGTGATGCCTAATATTTGTATATGTTCTGCCATATGATTGGACTCTCTGAAAGTACTGAGCTTCATGAAGACAGATCCATAGATGCTTACAGGGGGCCAGTGTGGTAACACCTCTTCCTACATAGGTTTTGTAGGTATAGGGTGCAGAAATCAAATCTATCTTTTGATACTTTTAATTGACAATTTTCAATTCTTTTGAAGGTAACAAACTAATAAAAAAGGTTATGAAAATTTTACCTGATTGCCACTGTTTTTGTTTTTGGCATGATCAGGTACTTACAATTTCATCGGAAATCCCTAAAAGAATTCAGAATGCTTTAAAAAATGCAGAAGAGTCAAAGCAATTTCTTAATCAGTTTCTGGAGAAAGAGACTCATCTCTTCAGTTCCATTAATAGTCATTTGCAGACCGCACAGCCCTGGATGGAGGATCTTGGGGCCATGATTAACCAAATTCACGAGATTGAACGGCATCTTGCTTACCTTACATGGATTTCACAAATTGAAGAACTAAGGTAACATTGTCCTCTTTGTTCTCATAATTATTATTTTCCTTTGAGGTTCTGTTATAAAGAGTGCATGTATGCCATTAAATAATTGAGTTAATTAAAGATTATAATAATGTAATTTTACCAGTTATGAAAATAGCATTATGATAATTATTCTTTTATTGTGAATGAACATAAACTTTTCAGGGAGCTAAATTTGCATTTAAAAGAAAGTAATCTAAGTAAAAATTTTAAGTTCTGTAGTTGTATTGTGAACACATGATAAAAATGATTTTTATAATTTCAGATGGATAAAACATCCCCTCAGCATGGTAATATTCCTTTTTACTTTTTGGAGGTTAGTTAATGAGATGGATTGCTTTCACTGTATTTTGAATTTTTTTCAGTGGGAATCATCTATTAATAGGAATAAGTACTCTTAGATGAATAATAGAGTTCTGCTGTAGGTAGGAGGAAAAGTACTGTTTTAATTGATTACATATCACTAGTGGTTGATTGTGTCAGTATTGCTTTTCAAACAAGCTAAATTAACATTTCTGCCTAGACTGGCAGATTATTTGGTTTCATTATATAGTCTCCCAACCTTTCTAAAGTGTACTTTTTGATCCTTGCTTTCTTTTAACTACTCTTCCTTCAAAGCTGTTAACAACCATTGATGTCTGAAAGACTTGAAGGGGAAAAGTCATCCCGAGAGTCTTGATGTCCCATTTTAAATCTGTCATAGTTGAAATAGGTTGTTATTTCTTCCAAAGAGTAACCCAGTGTCACTTTGTCCTGCATATGCTTTCTGGGATTTTAAAGAATTTTACATGTCAGTACAGTATGAAAATCTTTGTTTTGCATACATGTTTTACCTTTACAGAAAACGTGATATGCCTAAGATTATAGTGTTATTAGTGATTCCAGATTGAATTAAGCTTTTTGGAGCATCTCCTTGTTGGGATAAATTATTTGCAGTGAAGGAATTTTATTTTATTTTATTTTTTTATTAAGTATGTTTTATTGATTATGTTACAGAATGGACTTGTTGCAAGGGATGATATACTGTTACCAACTGGATCTTCCCCTCCTCCCAGGGTCCCCCTGTACTAGGTTCGCCTTGCCCACCACCAGGGAATTATAGCTCTCAATGCTAGAGATTGGTGAAAAGGAAAGGAACTGTTTATTTAAAAGTTACACAAACTTAGAGTAATGACTTAATGTCTTCGTTAAACTCCTAAAGTCTCTTAAAACACCCACAAACACACACAGTTCTTCCTTCCCCCCTTTGCCCAGTCCAGGGTGCCATAACTCAGGAAAAGAAATAGAAGTTTGTGGCTCTGGTAGTTCCCAGTCCTTCCCAGTAATCCATACTCGGCTTGCAGGCCTCCCGTGGTTCACTGCACCATCAGCTGTGTCGCCGCTGTGATCTCCAATTCTTAATCCAAACCCACGTGGCACCTTCTCATGGCCCAACAGCTAGAGTCCTTTCACCTATACCTACCAGCATTCCCATATTTTCCAGCTTTTCTGGGCTGCCACAGTAAGTCTGGGCAGGTGTGGCCCTGTGGTGTGGAGCCCAACCATCTCCAGGTTCTCACACAGGTTCTGGAACCAGGGGGAGTTGCCTCCCAGTTATATCCTGGGTTGAAGTCACTCCCATCTGCCTGGCTTAAAGCAAGGCTTAAGGCTGTTTAACATATCCATGAAACCAGTTAAAAGTTATAGATGTGTTAAATGACCATTCTAGAGGTTATTTGCAAAACTGTTGCTTTGCGAAACTCTCAATGGCCCTGCTCCATGTGTCCAATGTCCCCAGACTTGTGGAGGTGAGGACATCCTAAATTTTTAATATTTCCTGGACAACCTGAGTTCTGGACCCCATTACAAATACCTCTTTGTGGGGGGTGCCCTGGCTGTACCCTGTTATAATTATGCCCTATTAGTTCATGTCCATGGGTTGTACATATAAGTTCTTTGGCTTCTACACTTCCCATGCTGTTCTTAACATCCCCCTGTCTGTTTTGTACCTACCAATTATGCTTCTTATTCCCTCTACATTCTCCACCATTCTCCCTCTTCCCCCTCCCCGCTGACAACCTTCCTTGTGATCTTCATCTCTATGATTCTAGTTCTGTTCTAGTTGTTTGCTCAGTTTGTTTTTGTTTTTTTTTTAGATTCAGTTGTTGATAGCTGTTTGTTGTCATTTTACTGTTCATAGTTTGATCATCTTTTTCTTAGATAAGTCCTTTTAACGTCTCATATAATAGGGGCTTGGTGATGATGAACTCCTTTAGCTTGAGCTTGTCTGGGAAGCTCTTTATCTGCCCTTCCATTCTAAGTAATAACTTTGCTGGATAGAGTAATCGTGGATGTAGGTCCTTGCCTTTCATGACTTGGAATACTTCTTTCCAGCCCTTTCTTGCCTGCAATATTTCTTTGAAGAAATCAGCTGACAGTCTTATAGGAACTACTTTGTAGGTAACTGTCTCTTTTTCTCTTGCTGCTTTAAAGATTCTCTATCTTTAAGCTTTGTCATTTTAATTATGATTTGTCTTGGTGTGGCACTTTTTGGGTCCAATTTATTTGGGACACTCTGTGCTTCCTGTACTTGTATGTCTATTCCTTCACCAAATTAGGGAAGTGTTCTTTCATTATTTTTTAATTAAGTTTTCAATTTCTTGCTCTTCTTCTCCTTCTGGCACCCCTATAATTTGGATGTTGGAACGTTTAAAGTTGTTCTAGAGGTTCCTAAGCTTCTCTTCATTTTTTTGAATTCTTGTTTCTGTTCCTGGTGAATTTTTTTTTCTTCCTATTTGTTCCAAATCATTGATTTGAATTCTGGATTACTCCCCTTCCCTGTTGGTTCCCTGTGTGTTTTGCTTCATTTCACTTTGCGTAGTCTTCACTTCTTTATTTTGTGGCCATACTCAATCATTTCTCTGAGCATCCTGATCACCAGTGTTTTGAACTCTGCATTTGACAGGTTGGCTATCTCCATGTCACTTAGTTCTTTTTCTGTAGATCTGTTCTTTGTTTTGGCTATATTTTTTTGTACCCTCAATTTGGCAGCCTCCCTGTGTTTCTGTGTATTAGGTAGAGTTGCTTTGATTCTCCATGTTGGCGCACGTCTTGTGTTGTAAGGGGTAGAACCTTAGGTATTTCCTAGGGTGGGGCAATGGGCTTCACCCAATTGTGGAACTGTATGGGGGGGAGGGGTCAGAGAGGGACCAATGCCACTTCCTTGGATCTTGCCCCATTTCCAGTCACTTCCCCCGCTCCTTGTAAATGACTGGCGCCCTTCTAGCTGTTGCTCTGGTGCTGCTTCCCCAAGTGGGTGAGTTTGTGTACCTTCTAGGACCCTGTAGGCTCTTTAAATGGACTCTCCTGAGAGACTGGCAGTTTCTTCTGTTGTCCCAACCCCCACAGGTTTTTATAGCAAGAGGTTATAAGGCTTTGTTTTTTCCTGGCACTGGAAACCTGGGGCTGCATGGTCTGGCCTAGGGCTGGGATCACAGCTCCCCAGGTGTCCCTCCTGGTTTTTATCTGCTACGTATGAATTTGGGACTGCCTGTTCCTCTGACTGCAGCAGCTGCCTCGCCATGCCATACCAACTCCCCATCTTTGCCCCTCCTACCCATCTGGGTGAATGTTTCTTCTTTAAATCCTTGGTTGTTGGACTTCCATACAGTTCAATTTTGTGGCAGTTTTGGTTGTTTTTCGTTTTTAGATTGGTTGTTATCCTTCTCATGGTTGTGTGAGGAGGCAAAGCGTGTCTACCTATGCCTTCATCTTGGCCAGAAGTCTGCAATGAAGGAATTTTAAACCTTGCTTCAGTTTACTTCTTTTTCCTTGCCCCTCTGCAACAAAATACCAATGGGGTAATATGAAAACCTTTTTAAGTTATTGTAGTAATAGCCTTATTAAATAAAAGCCTGAGCTGTGTAGTAGACAAATAATTTGATTAATAAAAAGAGGACCATGATTATGGGTAGCCTTTTTCTGGTATTGAAATTGTTTAAAAGAATATATACCCAGGGAGTTATATTAGAAGTAGGAATCAAATTCATAATCAAGTAGAGCACAGTTATTTCTCTTTATAATACATGTTCTTTCCTGTAGGTCTTTTGTGATACATATCTATTTATAGCTTTCTTTTCGGTTCCTGAGACTTTCCTTATCTCCTAATTTCCCTTTAATGACCCATTTTTTATTCTGTGGGACTTTCTTTTTTCTTTTTTTAATTAGTTTTATTCTTTCTAGAACTAGCATCTTTTTGTTAACCCCATTTCTTGAATACTATAGTTCACCCATATCGCTATGAATAAGCCCTATGGCCCTGGCTTTTCCTGTGCTCTGTCAGTCATGCTTCAGTGTTGTGTGGGGATGCATTTCATTGTATCCTAGAAGGAGATGCTCCTGTAGTCTGTGGTTATATGTACATTTAAAATTCTCTTGTAACATTTGTACATTTCTTAAACATGGCAGTCTTCCTTTAACATAATGCAACACTTAGTTTGGATTTATATGTCTTTGAAATGGGAAAAACCTTGTACAGAAGCAGTCACTTGTGCATGCTAAACATCAGAACAAGCCCCCAAGAGGAACTACCAGTGCCTTAATGCAGAAACGGTGAATTTACTGATACCCAATTGGGGGGGGGGGGGGACAGAATGTTTGCAATGCTGAGAATAACTATAAAAGGCAAAACTTGTTGGAAACCTTTTTTTTTTTTTAAGATTTTATTTATTTTTTAGAGAGGGCAAGGGAGGAAGACAGAAAGGCAGAGAAACATCAATGTGTGAGAGGTACATCAATTGGTTGCTTCTCACATGCCCTCAACTGGGGACCAGGACACAACCCAGGCATGTGCCCTGACTAGGAATTGAACCAGCGACCTTTCAGTTCACAGACTGGTGCTCAGTCCACTGAGCCACACCAGCCAGGGCAAAATCTGCTGGAAATCTTAATAAAAATTATTAGTAAGTGAGAAGAAAGAAAAGTAAGAGCATCATTGTAGGGGATGGCCAAAAGGGCTGACAGAATAATATAAACATGAGCTTGGTATCCTTGTGTGTCTGAAACAGTGACAGTAGAAAACAAAAGTAGCTTGTGGAGAAAGGAGAGGGAAAAATACTAGTGCATAGTGGAGATGGCAGGGTAGGCTACACATTTCTAATTGTAAGGAGGACTCTGTGCCTAACCTAAGAACATAACTGAAGCAGCACACCAAACCAGAAGCAAGAGTCCTAGCACATTAGTCATCTTCCAGTGCGGTGGCCTAGGGCCCAGGTACAATGTGTATGGGCTGCCTACGGGTGAAGAACTTTAGATTTCCTGCAGGGCGTGACCCCTGAACTGAGATTCATTACTGAAAAGGTTACATTTTGTTCCTTATTCTTAGATGGCGTAAGGTATGGGATATGTTATTTTTATCAAAAGAAATATTTTATTTTAAAATAAAATGTTTTGCTTTATAGAGCCTAAATGGTAGCTCATGGACTGAATTTGTCCTAAAGATATGTTGAATTTGGCTTGTTTTGAATAATTTGAATAATTGGTTTGATTTTATATGAAAATCTTGATTTCTTTCTTCTCTAGAAAAATTTTAAGATTCAGCCACATTAGATCCACACTCCAGTGTGGCAACAATTGGCTAGAGCCTTAGGATGATGCTTTATTCCCCACCCACTTAGCTTTTTAATTTTTTTTTTTATTTTTAAAGATGTTATTTATTTATTTTTAGAGAAAAAAAGGGAGGGAGGAAGAGAGAGAGAGAGAAACATCAATGTGCGGTTGCTGGGGGCCATGGCCTGCAACCCAGGCATGTGCCCTGACTGGGAATCGAATCTGCAGTGCTTTGGTTCACAGCCCACGCTCAATCCACTGAGCTACATATGCTAGCCAGGGCTCCACTTAGCTTTTTTTAATTTAACTTTGCAACCCTTGCTGTCGAGCTTATCTTAAATTTTATCTGGAACTTTTCTAATAGTGATTTGAAAGGCCTGGAGTCTGAGGTGCCACCTCCTTAAGTTTCTTATAATCAAGTTCAGCTGGGTAAAGTAGGTAAGAACTGAAGACTACCTCCCTATCAGTTTGACTCAGCCTGTTGGGTGTCGTCCCACTCCCATTCAGTGTCAGTCCCATCAGGGAGTAGTGTACCAGAAACAAATGATTGATGTTTCTCTGCCTCCCTTCCCCTCTCTCTAAAAACAATTTTTTTAAAAAGCATGAAGACTACCATATTTGATCCTACCAGATGCTACCCATATTATTTAGATTAAGATACTAAAGACTTCTGTAAAAGACAGATTTATCAGAAATGAGTGGTGCCTGAGGGAAAGTGACCCGGGACAAATCTATGCTGTTGGGAAGAGTGGGAAGGAAAAGGTGCAGAGAGGGGTCCTGAACATGGGCTGCTATTCTTGGAAAGGTGCTGAGTTTGAGGACTTCTTGCTCCCAGAGATGTGGGTATCAGGTAAAAAGGCCTGGTGCCTTTGGCGTGGTGCTTATTTCTTCCTTGGATACAATATTATATAACAGAGGAGGGAGAAGCAATTCTTCTGCATTTGGAGTTATTCTGAACTGTCTTTAAAGTTTGCTTTGCCTTATTTTGCAGTGATAACATTCAGCAATACCTAATGACCAATAATGTCCCTGAGGCAGCTTCTACTCTGGTATCTATGGCTGAACTTGACATCAAGCTTCAGGAATCGTCTTGTACTCATCTTCTTAGTTTCATGAGAGCCACTGTTAAATTCTGGCACAAAATTCTCAAAGACAAGCTTACAAGGTAAGGAATTGACTCATGTTTTATGATAATTGCTTTCACATGGTTATTTAGTAATCATTATATTTTACTGAAATATGTGTGTTACTTTTCTGTTACAGTGATTTTGAGGAAGTTTTAGCACAGCTTCATTGGCCATTCATCACATCTTCTCAGTCTCAAACTGTTGGCTTAAGTCGACCAGCCAGTGCTCCTGAGATACATGGTAACCTGGAGACACTATTTTGTCAGCTTCTGAAACTACAAACCTCGTATCTTTGTTGGAGTTAAAACTTACTAAAATTTATTTCTCTTAAGTAGATTTGTGGCTAGAGAGTAAACTTTCTGAAAGTGGACAACAAGTCAAATGGGAGTACTGGGTTTAGACTTGATCTGTATGTGGTCATGGAGTTGTGGCTTGTTTCTGTTCACAGTGAGTTGCATGTGGGTGGGAGGGTGTGGGTCAGCCTGAAATATGTGACTGACCCAAGTTTCACTCACATAGTCTCTTGGGACAAAAAATGGGCAATTGGGAGGAAACCTATTAACTTAGTGTTAATTTAATAAAATGATTACTTGAATGTTTTCTTACTATCTTTTTACTTTAGGAAAGATTAATTCTAATAACATTTTTCATTCATTTTTCTATTTAAACCATATAATGTATGTGTAGATTACATATTATCTATTTTTTATTTAGTATCTTTATTGGAAAAACGTGTCATGTAAATACATACATACATGTATGTATGTGCTTTTCTTTTCCCTTGACTTGACTATGTCAGAGATGAATTATTTACAGAGCCAAAACAACTTCCAGAAAAATACTCTCTTCCTGCATCTTCGTCTGTCATCCTGCCCATCCAGATTATGCTCACTCCCCTTCAGAAGAGGTTCAGGTATCACTTCCGAGGGAACCGACAGACTAATGTTATAAGCAAGGTGTGCTTTGCCAACTTTTGTCCTTGGTCATTATTAATAGCATTTGTTAAGAGTTTCTATACTTTTCCTGGTTTAAGTTAAAATCTGATTCTATTCACATTTCTGTTTTTTCTCTAAAGAGGCAAATTCCTGTTTTGTCACTGTCCTGTATACATATATTTTGGAACTTGTATTGCTACATTGTAGGAATCAGGTCACTCATTATCACATCATGTGACCAGTTTCTCAACTTTCCCCTTGGGTGTGCTGTAGCATTTGCTATGGCACTTTTTACAACTGGATCCACATATAAATTGATCCTTCAGGTTTATAAATAAATCAGAAAGTCAGAAGATAGTAGAGCATTAGCTTTCAAAAAGAGGTGCTGACACTGAAATGATTTGTAGCCATGCACCACAGTATGGGAATAAAGGATGGCAATCACCAGCATTTTAAGGAGGGATTGCATCCATGTGTATTGGGCATATTGATGAGGTTTTTCTTTCATTTAACATGAGAAACAATCATGCATTTGTTTTCAATGCAGTTTGATTGAAATTGTTGAGAATTATAAACTTGTTGCGGGGGGGCTGATACAACCTTATTTATACTTGCATTTTGCTACAACTAATGCATTTCAAGCCCAGAGGGGTTCAGTAAGTGCTTTGAATTAAATGTTATTAAATGCCAGATTACACCAGGCTTTGTATGTGTCATATGTAAATGTAGTTAAAGGTGTTATAGAAGTGTTAACGCATCAAGGGGTAGACGATTATGTTTGCATAGGAAGGAGTAGAGTGGCAATGGATTTTTGGTTCTCAAGTTCAGCTTGTTCCTGTGTATTGGGTTGGCCAAAAAGTTTGTTCATTTTTCTGTACAATGGCTCTAGTAGTGCTTAGTTGTTGTTAACTTCATTTAAAATAATTTTGTGATATAATTTAAAATAATGATTGTGACAGCTGTCATATCAGCTTGCATTAAGCAAAACTTATCAAAATTGGCAAATTTTTATGTAGCCATTTTAATATTGAAAATGAAAGAAAATACACATCTTGGGCATATTATGCTTTATTATTTCAAGAAAGGTTGAAATGCATAAAAAGATTTGTGCAGTGGAGAAGGTGCTGTGACTGCGTGAACATGTCCAAAGTGATTTGTGAAATTTCATGCTGGAGATTTCTTGCTGTATAATGCACCACAGTCAGGTAGACCAGTTGCAATTGATAAAAGAGATCAAATTGAGGCATTAATTGAGAACAATCATGTTACACCACGTGGTAGATAGCCAACATACTCAAAATATCCAAATCAATAAAGTTATTGGTGAAAATGGAAAATGTATCCTTTATTTTATGGAAAAACTAAACAGACTTTTGGCCAACCCAATACTTTACAGTTTTCCTCCTCTTTTGGATGGTGTGTTGGTGGAAAGAAAAGTAGAACCAATAGTAAGTAGTGACACAAAACAATAAATGTAAAGCTGTAGGAGAGGTAGTAATAATTTGAGGTAAGAAAATTGTGCATTGCCTGCTTTTTAAAGTGTGGTTCTTATAGTCCTAGTACTCTGATATCAAGCCTAAATTATGCAGCTTCTGAGATTAGAGATTGCCTCTTACTTATTTTTGTGTTCCTTACATCTAGCACACAACAGGAATTTACCATTCAGTAACTGTTTTTGAATTACTGTCTAGCAAAACTTGGAAGATTTATATTGTAGAATCATCTCTAGGGACAATTTAAAATGCTGCATACTTTACATTTTCTTTTCTATAATTATACCTGTTTTAAGGCACATATAATTTTTGTAATGTAGAACAGCCAGTTTTTTTCTTGATTTATATTTTGGGGAAAAAAAGAAAATAATGTTTAAAAATTATTTTGGAATGTTATTCCCCAAAAAGAAACAATTTAAAAGTCATCAGTTCTTTGTGATACGCATCATTTTGTGTACTTCTAAATGCTAGGTTTTAAATATATATGGCATTGTAAGTTTATGAGTTTATTGATGTAAGCCACATTAGTGGAATTTGTTGGGAGTATATTAGGAAACATTTGATTATTAAGTTTTACATAAGTTTAAAATTCAGAGTAGAAATTGTGTTCTTACATACAGGAATTTTCAACTAATTTTTGTAAGTGTTGTATATATGCAATGGAATACTATAGAGCCATTTAGTTGAAACTTTCTAATTGGCACGACTAAGTAAGTCAAACTGTTTTACTTCTTTCCTTAGCCTGAATGGTACTTGGCTCAGGTGCTTATGTGGATTGGGAACCACACGCAATTTCTGGATGAGAAGATTCAGCCAATATTAGATAAAGTAGGCTCTTCAGTAAATGCAAGGGTAAGAGACTCAATCCTAATCATTACAGTTTGCGTGTCCCTGAGTAACTTCCCATTTATATTATCTTATGCTTGCTTATGTATTTCTTTTAGCTTGAACTTTCTCGGGGCCTTGTGATGCTAGTCCTGGAGAAGTTAGCTGCTGATATTCCTTGTTTGCTCTATGACGACAATCTCTTTTGTCACTTGGTGGATGAGGTGCTGCTGTTTGAAAGGGAACTGCACAGTGTTCATGGCTATCCTGGCACGTTTGCTAATTGTATGCATATTCTGTCAGAGGAAACCTGTTTTCAGAGGTGGTTGACTGTGGAGAGAAAATGTAAGTACTCATGTGGCCATTGGGCGAAGAGAGATGTCTCTTTTTGTACATAGGGATTTTTTTTTTCTCCATATAAGCATTTCTTGGTCAGGGTTTACCAAATGGCCTTCAGAGCCATTTTCTTTTCTTCTTATCAAATGTCAGTTTTTCTGTAATTGCACTCTATCTGTTTCTAGAGTGTAATATTCAAGCCAGTAGAGTATATAGTTACCACTTTATAGATTTTTATATAATTTCTTTTCTTGGTAAAATCATTTTGGATGCAGCTTGTCTAGTCAGCATAACTATTTTGAAAATTTTGGGTGTAGTTGGTAAGAAATACCTTAACTTTGAAATAGAATATGTTAAACATAGTGCAACTAGTAAGAGGTTGTGGATTTGTTTATTTTTAATAGAAAAGTCATCATTCCTAAAAAACTGAATTGAAAAATTAGAAATGACTGTAACTACTTGACATAATTCTTTTTTTGCATATCAGTTGCTCTTCAAAAAATGGACTCAATGCTTTCATCAGAAGCTGCCTGGACATCCCAGTATAAGGATATCACTGATGTGGATGAGATGAAAGTGCCAGACTGTGCAGAGACTTTTATGACACTCCTCTTAGTTATAACTGGTAAGTATAAGTCTCATAAGATAAAACTTTGTTTTGAAAGTACTGGTTCTTTCCATGGTGCTTTTTCAGGTAGTTCAACGAAATTATTATTACTTGGTAGTTATTATAAGATATTTAAATTCAGTTTCTATTTTAGCAGAACTGTACCATAATATCCTAGGTTTCAGATTTTTAATAATTTAAGATCTTAAACATTGGTATATATGAAGGGGAAATTCCTGAATTGTTACATAAAAACAAATAATTTGATTTTATTACCTGAATCCCCCTGCCATTTAGTTTGTATCTTCAGTAAATGGTGATTGACCAAAATTTTAAATATTTCCTTCACTTTGATATATCAAAGATTGTAGAAGAGTAAAATAAAGTAACTTCAAGCATTGTAGTAGTAATTGGAAGGAACTCTTCTTATAGTGCAAGTGTATTCTGGCCAAAGGGAGCATAGCAGCCTCCAGCCCTGGTTAGTGTGTGGCCATCCACATTGCCCTATTGCAGACAGGCCCTCTGGTTCTCCAGGTGCCACCAAACCCTCATTACCACCCTCCTCTTCTGTCTTGTCCATTTCTTGGGCCAGTATATATAACTGAAGAAGTTCATTCCAACCTAGTTAGTAAATAATTTCATATCCTTAAGAAAAATATGAAAACCACAAACACAAAAACATTAGAAAAGTTTACATCTTTTAAATAACTTTTTATTAGGGAAATTTTTGAACATATACAAAAGTAGCATAATATAATGAACCCTCAAGTATCTTTACTAAGATTTAAAACAATTATCACTTTTCCTCGCCAGGTAGCTCATTTGGTTAGAGCATTATCCCAATACCCCAAGGTTATAGGTTCGATCCCCTGTCAGGGCACATATAAAAATCAACCAATGAATGCATGGATAGGTGGATCAACAAATTAATGTTTCTCTTTCTTCCTCTCTCTCTCTCTCAAGTCAATAAATTAAAAAAAAATTATCACTTTTCTATTATATATTTTTCTCCCCAACTCTTTTTTTTTCCTGGAGTATTTTAAAGAACATTTTGACACCTTACCATTTCACCTTTAAATTCTTAAGTAAATATCTCTTTTAACCTGTCCTAGTTCATCCTTCCTCTAAAAAAATGTCATTTTTTAAAGAAATGGAGTGAATTTTTGTAAATAATTATATGCCTTTTAAAAAGTTGAGGCATGATTTACAATATATATACAGTGAAATGCACAGATCTTATGTATATAGTTCAATGAGTTTTGACAAGTACATATACTTGTGAAACCCACAACTTTAGAAAGTATAGAAGTAGATCCATACTTGAATGGTCAGGTGATTTTTGACAAAGGCACCAAAGCATGTCAATGGGAAAACCTGTAACTCTGTCATACAGAATACCAAAACCTTCATATGTCTGGTTAACTTTTTCCACAGACCGGTATAAAAATCTTCCCACAGCTTCTAGAAAGCTGCAGTTCTTGGAGTTACAGAAGGACCTGGTAGATGATTTCAGGATACGACTGACTCAGGTGATGAAAGAAGAGACTAGAGCTTCCCTTGGCTTTCGATACTGTGCGATTCTTAATGCTGTGAACTATATCTCAACAGTACTAGCAGACTGGGCTGACAATGTTGTAAGTTAATGTGCTTTTATATTAAATAACATGTTAGTAGTTTGAACAAGTTTTACCTTTTGAAATGTTGAATCTATAGCAGGCAAAAATACACATTAGGCAGAACAAACTTATTCAAACTGAGGAGGTGTGATTAAAGTACACATTTTTCTCAACCAACTCTAAAACTGTTAAATAATCCTAATATTCTTATAATTGGAAAAGAAAGCCAACATTTCATGAAATAATTGTTTATAAAATGAACCTTTTTTCTCCTTAGGCTTGGAAATATAGGCTTGTTGTATACTTGGAAATATTCATATATGGTGGTAATTGCCATCTCAGAGAAAGATAAGATTGAATAATGGTGTCAAAATCAATAAAATCCAGCACTTTAAGGAAAATAAAATAATACACTTGATACCTCTTGAATACTTTCAAAATTATGAAGAATCACAAATATAGAAACTATTTTTAAACTTTTTATTTCATACATTACAAAATTATTTAATGTTATTTTCAAATATATACAAGAGTAAATAGAATAATAAAATAAATCTGCATATGACTCTTCTTTGTTTTATTTAAACCTCTCCTCCACCCCCCATGTTTATTTTAAAATGAATCTCAGATATCATACTTCTTGGTAAATATTTCAATATATATCTCTAAAAGATAATTCCTTTTAAAAAATATATAACCACAATACTATTATCACATCCAAAAAATTAATTTCTTACAATATTTAAGTTTTAAATAAATTAGGGAGGTATGTTTTAAATAAATTTAAAAATCAAAACCTTGGGTTCAGTTAAGTAATGTAAGGCCTTTTATTTCCAAGAATTTTACTTATCCTTTTCTCTATGCAGATTCCATATGTTGACAGAGTTGGTCTGCCTAAATATATTTATTAAGCGATATATTTATTTTTCCTCTTCTCATTAATCCAAGGAATATATTGGCTGTCAGGGCTTTGGTAACCAGATTTTCCAATATGTACTTCCAGACAAAAGTGAAGAAACTTAATTAGCCTTTATAACTTCACATACATAGATTCATTCCTATAGCTGTTTTAGATATTAAAATGATCTCAGAGGGGCTCCAGGAACTCTTCCTTGGACAAGGTACCCTAAGGTTAGGAATTGCTGTTCTAAGATCATCTGTGTGGATACAAAAATCAACTTAGGTTTTCACCAGCTTGTCCCATGAAAAATGCTTCCACAATAGGAAGCATTAATAGAAAATAAAGATGACCATAAAACAGTGAAATATACATTAAATGGTGAAAACACTAAATATAATAAATATGAAGATACATTATAAATGTAAATTGCAATATATAATTATATCATGAAAAGAAAATAGACAGGAAAATAAAATAAAAACAGTTATACTCAAATATTTGATTTATAGGGATCCCATCCCATAAGTAGAAAAGAGAAAGGAACAGAAACTTTATTTAAAGAAATAATGGCTGAAAACTTTCTTAACCTGGGAAAAGAAGCAGATATCCTGGTCCGGGAAGCACAGAGAGTTCCAAACAAGATGAACTCAAAGAGACTCGCACTAAGACATATTAGAATTAAAATGGCAAAAGTTAAAGAGATAGTCTTGAAGGAAGCAAGAGGAAAAAACAATGAAATCCCATTAGGCTATGAGCAGATTTCTTAGCAGTAACTTTATAGACCAGAGCAGAGTAGCAGAGTATCTTTAAAGTGCTGAAGAAAGAAACCTACAACCTAGAATAATTTACCCAGCAAGGTTTTCACTCAGAATTTAAAGAGAGATGAGAGTTACCAGACAAACAAAAACTAAAGGAGTTCATCGCCATTAAATCAGCTTTACAAGAAATATTAAAGGGTCTTTGTAAAGCAGAAAAGGGAAGACCATTACCAGAAATAAGAAAATATGAGAAAGGGAAACATATCTCACAGGTAAAGCCAAATCAGACACATAAAAAGCTACTATGAAGGTCAAAAGAAAAAAGTATTAAACTCAAACTACAATGAGTAGTCAGGAGATACAAAAAGTTGTAAAACATGACATCAATAACATAAAGCATGGAAGGGGGAGTAAAAATTGTCCAATAGAATGTATTGGGACTTAAACGCCTATTAGCTTAAAATAGATTGCTATAGATATACATGTGAAGCTCATGGTATCCACAAACCAAAAACCTATAAGCAAACAAAGAACAAACAGAAAGGAACCCAAACAAAATAATAAAGAAAAAAAGCAAACACGAGAGATCAAGAGAAGAAAGGAACAAAGGAGAACTATAAAAACAGCCAAAAAACAATGAACAAATGGCAATACTTACTAATAATTATTTTAAATGTAAATGGATTAAATGCCCCAATAAAAAGACTTAGGGTTGCTGAATAGGTTAAAAAACAGGACCTATCTATAGGATTAATTAGAAAACAAGACCCACTCTGGCCGGTGCAGCTCAGTGGATTGAGTGTAGGTCTGTGAACCAAAGGGTACCAGGTTCAATTCCCAGTCAGGTCACATGCCTGGGTTGCGGGCTAGTTCCCCAGCAGGGGGTGCATAAAATGCAACCACACATTGATGTTTCTCTCTTTCTCCCTCCCTTGCCCTCTGTCCAAAAATAAATAAAATCTTAAAAAAACAAAAACAAAAACAAGACCTATCTACAAGAGACTCACTTCAAATTGAAAGATATACAGACTGAAAGTGAAGGGATGGAAAAAGGCATTCCATATAAACAGAAATGAAAAGAAAGCTAAGGTAGGAATAATCATATCAGACAAAACAAACTTTAAAACAAAAAATGTTTTAAAAAGATGAGGAGATAACATAATTATAAAGGGGTCAATCCAAGCAGAGGATGTAACAATTGTAAATAGCTACACACCCAACATATGAGCACCTAACTATATAAAGCAATTATTAGTGGACATAAAGGGAAAAATCCACACTAATAAAATAATAATAGGATTTTAATATCCTATTGTGCACTCACATCAATGGATAGATGATCTAGACAGAAAATTAATAAAGGAATAATGGCCTTAAATGTTACAGTAGGTCAGATTGACTTAATAGATACTTACGGAACATTTCATCCAAAAACTGAAGAATACACATTTTTTTTCAAGTGCACATGGAACATTCTCCAGAAGAGATCATGTATTAGGCCACAAAACAAGACTTAGTAAATTGAAGAATCCTGAATTCATATCAAGCATTTTTCCAACCACAGTGTAGTTGAAACTAGAGATCAACTACAGGAAGAAAACTGGAAAAAACACAAGTACATGGAGACTAACATGCTACTAAACAACCAGTGGCTCAAAGAGGAAATCAAAACAAGAATAAATGAATAAAGGGGAAAGTAAATAAATCAAGCTGTTTACTCTTGGGGTGGGGGAAAGGACAGTAGGGGAACATTTTTCAAGTTTTAACCTAAAACTAAAAACAGATCTAAAATAATATCTGGGCAGTTTTTCAGTAAGGTGAGCAGAAACCAATAATTTTAATTAAAGACTTAAAAGTACCACTTTAAAAATGTAGGTAAGGTAGGGATAGAAAAATTACAGTTAAATAATTACCTGGATTAATTGAGGATTGGTGATAAGTTCATGGTATACTAAGGAAAATGTAATTTTTTAGTGTGCCCACACGAGTCACAAAAATGGACAAGGGAAATTAATTTAAAATTTCTGTACATTGTCAAATAATGCAATAAAAAATAAAAGCAGAAATTACATAGGGAGGAAGTCTAGAAAACATGACAAGAATGTATCTTTAATTATGAATCTATGACAAAAATATAGTACATTGCTAATGCATTATGTAATTTGTTGTATATAGAAGAATTATGTACTGCTAAAACACAAAGAATATATTCCTTTACTGTGAAATTTTTTAAAAAGTCTTTATCTTAAGTACAGGTTATAAACCAAAATAAATAGAAAACAAAAATAAATATACAAATAACAGGTGTAAACAAAATAAAATTAGACACAATCATAGTTTAGTTGGTATTCTTTGGCTGTAACAATAATTATCTAAAACTTTTCTATAAAAATGTTAGCTGAAATCTGTGTGTATATCATTCTGCTGAGCAAGGAAAATAAGACAATTATTTCACAATTATTATTTCAAATAATTATTTCAAAATGAATCCAGGGTAGAGTGTCATGATCAGTGCATTTCTCTTTATGAAGTCACCTAATCAGAAGGCATTAATTCACTGTGTTCTTTTGTGTCATAGTCCTAATTTTAGTAAGTACTTTATTCACTCAGCCCCCACACTGCTCCATTTTTCCCTAAGCTTTTTTAATAATATGAAACAAACTGTCATTCTTGATTCTTGTGTCAGATGATTTAGTAAGAAACTCATTCAGGGAGAGATTTTTAGCTTCAATGAAATATTTGTGGAACATCATTAACTAATTTATTCAGTGCCACAGGCTTTAACAAAGATTGACTGGCCATGATTCGTATCCAAAGAAAATAACCTGATGCTGAAAATTTTTCTGACAATTAACTGTTCTTCTGTCAACAGAGAAATAACCATGCTTTAGAGTTGACTCTTCAAATCATGGATGAATTCTATGTCTTAGTATGTTGTTATGGTACAAATTCTGTTTAATATCAAAAGTTCTTTAATCATCTTCATAGTTCTTCAGTCTGTGAATGCTTTAAATAAAAACCATTAAGGCTTTTCTATTACGTACTTAGGAAAAGAAAAAGGAAAAGTGGACAAGAATTCATCTTCCACTCATTTAGATTCTCTACTGATAGCTGTCTGTCCATCGCCAGATTGTGCTGAGCCGGACATGTCCAGCCATTCAATTCAGAATTAGTTTTTCAGGAGTAGATGATAGAACCCTGATTCATAGACCTAAGTGGGGAGTGAGAAAGTGAGGTATTGGTGTAACTCAAAGGATTAGGCGTGGCTAAAGTTGCCTTCTGGCTTCATTCTCAGACATGCTCTAGTAAGTGTGGCCTCTCACATACCACCACTGAACAATTACTAAGGGTGGCCATCCTCAGCCTCCTGTTAATGGACATTAGGTTCTTTTTAATCTTTTACTAATATCCACAGCATTATAGGGCAGAAAAAATAATACTAACTCTACCTAAAATACCACGGTAAAAATGACATTTTAATTTTCTTAACTCATATCTGCTAGGTTTACTACAGCTTTAAATTTGTCTAGAAAAAGTGAGGAGTACTTAAGGAAGCATGGTAGCCATCAGGGAAATGCAAATTGAAACCACAATGGTATAACACTTCATATAAACTAGGAGGGCTATGATAAAAAAGACACGATAACCATTTTGGGCATGGATGTGGAGAAATTTGAATCCTCACACATGGCTGAAAGGAAAATAAGATGGTGTGGTAGCTGTGGAAAATAGTTTGGCAGTTCTTACATGATCCAGAAGTCTACTCTTAAGTATATAGCTAAGAGAAGTAAAAGCATGTCCACACAGAAACCTGTACACAAATGTTCACAACAGCATTATTCATAACAGGCAAAAAGTGGAAATACCCACTTGCCCATCAAAATGTGGTATATCCATATAATGGAATATTATTTAGCAATCAAAATAAAGTACTAATACATATTACAACATAGATTAACCATGAAAACATACTAAGTGAAAGGAGCTAGTCACAAAGAACCACAAATTGTGTGATTTCATTTATATGAAAGGTCCAGAATAGGCAAATCCACAGAGACAGAAAGAGTGAAGAAGGCATGGGGGATGATGGCTTAGGGTGTGGGGTTTCTTTTTGGAGCAATGAAAATGTTCTAAAACTGCGCATCTCTCACTAACTGACGGTGGTGAGAGATGCGCAACTCTGAATTCAGTAAAAGCCACCGAACTACATACTTCAAATGATTGAATTACATATGAGTTATGTTTAAAGCTGTTAAAAAAGTATCTTAATAAATGTGTTAACATTTTATTTTCAGTTCTTTCTACAACTTCAACAGGCAGCACTGGAGGTCTTTGCAGAGAATAACACTCTCAGCAAATTGCAGCTGGGACAACTAGCCTCTATGGAGAGCTCTGTCTTTGATGACATGATTAACCTGTTAGAGCGTTTAAAGCATGACATGTTGACCCGTCAGGTAGACCATGTTTTTAGAGAAGTTAAAGATGCTGCAAAATTGTATAGAAAAGAAAGGTAAGGCCTCTGTATTTTCTTACAACTCTCAACTCCAGTTTGGTAAAAATTAAAAAATGATATATACAGTCAGATTTTCCAAGGTATTTAGGTAGCACAGAGTTAGGCCTTTTGCACACCAAACTTTTAACTGTTTCTGACAGAACGCTTTCTAAAATATATTCATTCTTAATCAGAATAAATAGACCATAATTTAACCTTCACATGTGTCTGCAAGTACAGAGAGCTGATGTATATGGGTTGAATGGCCTAGCTTGTCACCCATTTTAAAAAGTAAGGTGCTCCTGTCTCCTCTGCATATGTTTGTATTGTCCAGTTTATCCTCCTGTCGTAACTCCTGCGGACCCGTTACCTCTGCCAGACTGAGCTCCTAGCCAGCAGTCAATCTCTTTTTGCTTTAGCACAGTATGAACCAGTTTGGAAGTGTTATTAGTCCATTTCGCTGAAAATTACAGCATAAAATAAGTTAAGTGTCTTAAATATTTTACATTTTCACTTTTATAATTATTCAGTAAGTTATATTTGGGGATTTGAAAATTTAATCTGCCATCATTAAATAAAAGAGTATTTAATTGAGAGCTAAAGTGTAAATATAGGTATATTTATTTTGAGGTTTTAATGTTAGACTGTACATCTTAGCTGAAATGCTCAGGAGTGTACTTACCCAAATTTAAAATTGGTTAAATCTTTAAAAATACAAATTGATGAAAAATTTTATGGTAAAAATTAATGTGCTACAGGCAATGCTGTTCCTCCCCCAAGGTGGTTGTCCCTGCCATCTCAGTCCGAGCAGGCAGTAATGTCCCTGTCCAGCTCAGCCTGCCCCTTACTGCTTGTGCTACGAGACCGTTTACTTCAATTGGAACAGCAGCTTTGCTTCTCTTTATTTAAAATCTTCTGGCAAATGCTTGTAGAGAAACTGGATATATACATCTACCAAGAAGTAAGTAAAGAACAGATTATATTTGGGGGCTGTGAATGATAAAGGCAACTGTGATATGAATTAATCTTTCTTTCAGATCATTCTTGCTAATCACTTCAATGAAGGAGGAGCAGCTCAGTTGCAGTTTGATATGACACGGAATCTTTTCCCTTTGTTCTCCCACTATTGCAAGAGACCAGAAAATTACTTTAAACAGTAAGCTCAGTGGTTAACAATTGATTCTGATGTATGAAATCATTAGAGGAGGTTAAATCCTTTTTTAACAACTTTAGGGTTCCAGTGATGTTAAAATGCAGTATAGCATCAATTAAAAATGTTAAATATTTGTTGTGTATCAAAATAATACAGGATGGGGCAAAAGTAGGTTTACAGTTGTTCATATGGAAAATACAATAATTAATCAATAATATATCAGAATAAACTGTGTTTTGCATACTCACAACTGTAAACCTTTTTCCCTACCCTGTATAAGATTTGACCCATGACCCCAAAAAGTTCACCAGAACTGGATATAAATTATGTGTTGGGCTTTGTTTTCTAGCATTTGGTATAATGCTCAGATTTGCTTATTATTGGGGAAATAAGTAGAAAATGAAAGCAAGTGCAGTTCTGCCATAGTCATTAATATAGGAAATTAAAAATATGTCTGGAACCTAGTAACAGGCCAGGCATGTAGAAAAACTCATTTTATATTAATTTTGGTTCTAAGTATAACTATAAATGCATATGAGAATTCTTAGAAGTATTTTTAGAAATTATTAATGTAAAATTTAAGTTATTTAGGGTGTTTCTGAGATTATAAAATATTCTTTTTAAATTTATAAAATGAAAGATTTTGCTCGAATAAGCTTTCTATTTGTTTTAGTATTCTACATTTCTACTGCTTTCATTTCATATCTTAATTTTCTCTTTTCCCATATCCTAATCTACCTAAAGTCCTAGCTACAGTTAATAGAATGTTAATATCAAATATTGTATTTTGGTAAGTAATAGATACATACTGAAAACAGTGATCCTATTACTTTATATTAATCTGATGAACTATAAATTCTGCACATATACATAGTCCTATATGTTAAAGGAATCAAATAATCCACACATAGTTTTTATTGAGGGCACATGGTCTAATAGTACAGGGAAGCTGTTTAATTTCTCAAAATGAAATTATTATGAATAATGTGGGTGATAAAGATAATAGAGATCTCATTTCCCTCCTGCCTTTTTTTTTTGTGTGTGTGTGTGTGTGTGTATAACAGTGTAAAAGAAGCCTGCATTGTTTTGAATTTGAACATTGGTTCTGCACTGCTTCTGAAAGATGTCCTGCAGTCAGCTCCCGGGGAACCTTCTGCCACAGCAGCATTAAATGAAGTTGGAATTTACAAACTGGCCCAACAAGATGTTGAGATTCTGCTTAATTTGAGGACACACTGGCCTAACACTGGAAAATAATGCATCTTTTGTTTTTGTTTTTGTTTTGTTTTCCTTTTTTGAACAAGAGGAATCCAATTGAATTAAGTTATATGATGAAGTTCCGAATTAATGAAACTGGATAACTGAAAACTTGACAGAATCATTTATTATCTTTGACTTATAGGTTATTAAAATGTTGACCATACTTCCTTAGACCTTCTGTTCCTAAGAAAACAAAAACAGAAAACTCAGAAGCCATGAAAACTCAGAGTTAATTCCATTTACAATACAATGCTGAATATGTCTTGAATAAAATATAAGAGCAGAGACAGTAAATTATAACCAACTTTCAGTTCCCTGTGTTAACTAAGGAAGACTGTTGTGGATAATCAAACCCAGCAAATAAATTTTTAAAAGACTACTTTAGAATGCATGTTTTTAATTGAAGTTCCTATTTAGTTTGGAAATTCACTGTATTTCCCATAAGAAAGCGCATTAAGAGAGAGTGATGAAAACAGAATTGCTCTCATTTTCTATAAATATCCTTCCATTTAAAATACTTCCTAGCTCCATTCCATAGGCAACCTGTACTTTTAGATGAAACATTTCAGGCCACAGCGCTATGCTTCAGTCTTCTCCAGGGTAGGGAATGTAATTAAATTATTTTTGTTTAATATTTATGTGATGATGAGATGCGTATCTTAAACTTTCTGACTTTTCCTTGACCTTGAACTATGTTCATGATTTCTTGATTAATAAATTCTCAGTGAGTAAAACTTTAAACAGAGTTAGGTTAACTAGTCCTTCTACAACTATCAAATTTTGTTCCAGTGTTTTTTTTTTCCTGATTTAGCATTTATTTAATAGTTTTTAGGCTGTAATACTTCAAATCTAAAATTGTCAGTCTGGTGTGCAACCTATGCTATTGAGAAACATGTATTTTTTGATAATTTTGAGAAAATATTTTGGGAGAGATTTCTATTACTCTGTACTTTATACAGAGACTTTCCAACTAGTATATTGAACTCAAAGCTTTTCTGTTAATTCTCCTAGTAAACTGGGGCCTTTCTACCTCATTCCTAGAGAATTGCTGGGGTTTCCCATTGAGAAAAAAAATGAAGCTGCATGGAATGTCCTAACTCTAGCGTTTTCTCCCTCTCCTCTCCCCAGGCTTAGGGACTTTTCTGTCAGCCCTCCCTGTCCTCAATTTCTCATCAACTGAAAGTTTCTAATAAAAAGGTAGGAACTTGTTTTAAAAGGTATTAATTGTACTTCAAAATCATGGCACAATCTTTAATAGTAATATCTCATGAGAAAATGAACTTACACTTCATTCCTGAATTTATCCAAAGTTATTCCATGCCCATCATCTTTTAAAACTTCATCTGCAGTACACAGACCCAGGGTATTTAGGGCTGTAAAAGTCAGAGTGAGAAGGAAAATTTGCAAAGTGAGTATTTTCAGCTAGAGAAACTTAGAGAATGACTACTAATTATTACCTCAATTTGTATTAGACACTAACCTTCTCTGTACTGCACAAACGATATGGTGCCTTTTTTCGAGGTGTCCATCATCTCAAACATAGCCACAATATTAGAGTGATTCATGAAGACAGGAAAAGCCACACCTGTTATTTTGGCAATTCTCAGTCGTTCCAACAGAGATACTAAATACTCTCTTGGTTTATCTGTAAAAGAATAGTTCTGATTCTGTCTGATAGGAAGTTAAAATGCCACACGTGGATATAGCCATTTAACAATTATTAAATACTTCTGGTTCAAGGTGCTGTACTAGGCACTGGGGATATATGCCTAGCTTGTGAGAAAGGTAAGATATTGAAATCCTCATTTCATACGAGTAGTCTGTGCTCTAACACTGATGACTGTATAAAAAAGTCGAGAGACTACACCTAGGCATTTTTATCAAAAAGTTCCGGTAATTCTAACATGCAGACAACAGTTAAACACCCCCCCCCCCCAAACTGAAACATGATGCAGGAAAGAAAGTTCCCAGGCAAAAAGAGTAAAATATAAATAAAAATACTCCGATTGATATAGTCTCCCAATTAGGAAGCATAAATGTTCATTTCTAACAAAAGCAGTATTTGTAGAGGTAGGAGTGAACGCGTGCGCGTGAAGACGGGGCGGTATTTGGGAGGAACGCGGACAGACGGGTGAGACAGAAAGCCGAGTGGTAGGCAAGACCCTTACTGGGCTGGAAAAAGAGCAGGGAGCTGGTGAGATAGTTCAGCAACTCCATAATCCGATGTTTTTTCAAATAATTCTTGGCCTGGAGCTCCCTGCTGCGGAAGCTGCTGCCCGCCTCCATCACTTCGCTACGGGCCGTTGCTAGGCGTCCAAAGAGCGTCAGTTCGGCCCCGCCTCTTCCGCCGGTCACGTGGTAACTCTTGCCCCAGGTTGGGACCCCGTTGAGAAGCTTTACTTCACCCTGCCGGGTGTGATGGGGTGGGGCGAAGGGGCGCGTGAGGCGGAGCGGGGTGTGGGGCAGTCGTGGAGACCTGAGGGAGACTCTTGCGGAGCCCGTTGTAGGCGGACGCTTTTCCCCTCAACCCCGGCGGAGGGCTGGGCCTGATTGTCTTTTCCTGTGCTCACTACTTGTTGATCCACTGAATGAGACCGCGTGTGTTAATAGTAAAGGATGAACTAATAACAGAAGGAGCTTGTGTAATTCTGGAGGTGGTTAGTGGAGAGTCCTAAGCAGCATCCTTGGTACGAGCAGGCTGCAGCTCAGTGCTGGCAGTGAGGCTGAAAGGTAGCCTGTTTTTCTACCCGATTGTGGGTTATGAACCACAATGATCCATGCCTGGATCCTGAGCTTCAACATCTGCTTCGTAACTAGATTGCATTGGCTGGTGTTATGAGGGAAGGTCACTGAGTAAGGTGGGATGCAGGTGGCTAGCAGGGCCTTTCCTCAGTTACTGTTATATTTGCAAAACAAATCTGTAGGCTGGGTCTTCTGTCCTTGTGGGCCAGCTTCTGGAGCCTGTGCCCTTCCCCAGAACAGGCACTTCAAAAAGAGGAAGGACAAAGGGCCACTAAACATATGGAAATAATCTCAGCCTCATCAGCAATCCTATGAACAAATTAAAACAACAAAAAAGTCATTTTATCTAGCAGACTGTAATTAATTATGAAATTCAACAATTTCAAATGCTATAACTAAACAGTCAGTGATGATGGGAATATAAATTTGTGAATTGAAATATCCACTTCGGAAAACGATTTGAAATTATCTTGGTAATATAAACATGTTTCTACACTATGACTCAGAAATTCCCCTCCTAGAGCAACTATTATACATGTGTACCAGGAGATATGTGCAAGAATGTTCACAGCAGCTCTGTTCATAATAGGAAACTGACAACGGCCCGAAGGTCATCCGAGAAGAATGGACTAAAGAAACTAGTATGGCATATAATGGAATACAATAAAGCATTGCAGCAATGTGTTGTAGCTACTTGCAACATTGTCTCAAGAATGTATACTGTATAAATATTTGTTTCAAATTAAACATACAAAAATAAGCAATACATTGTTTATAGATGGAAACATATGTAGGAAATCTTAAGGAATATAAGGGAATTATACTCACAAAATTCAGCATAGTATTTGCCTTGGAGATAAAAGGAAAGGGAATATGTTTATGGAGGGGGACTTCAGGGATAATGGTAATGGGGTTTTTCTCTACCTGAGTGGTGAGTACACACATGCTCATGGATTGTGATTCTTTATACCTTATGTATAAAGATGATAAAGAAATTCTTAAAATCTCAGCATTTAATAATATTTTTAAGCAATTGAAGAAAAGAGGATGGAAAAAGAGGCCAGAAAGTCATTGCCAGGAGACTGAATGAAGCCGGGAACAGAAGAAGGTCTCTGAGGTGCTGGGGACACACATGGTGGGGACTGAACCTTCAGAGGCCTACCTTGAGAATTCTGTGTTCTGAGCATCTGGGAGAACGAGAGATTTTATGGCTGGTGGTTGGGACACTGGCACTAACTTGAGCAAAGAGTGTTGCCAGTGAATGTGGGTTTCTTGCAGTGTTGCAAGGAAAGCAGTCCAGGAGACCTTTCTCTCTTGTGAAAGAGAGTCAGTACTCTCTTTCACAACACACCTCAGGCAACTAGGTCCCCCAAAGCTCCACTTCCTCCAGATATCATGCTAAAGAGAAGTGTCTAGATGCCACCTAGTGGAGTCAGCTATTCTCTGCCAAAGCCATCTCTTAGGCCATTTTGGACTTAATTAATCATCATTCTAACACTTTCTTCTTTGACTCCTTGCCCTTCAGCTCTGTATTATCACTAATCCTTGTAGTGGTTTGGGAGAGTAACTCCAGTGGAAGGCTTTAATGCAGTGGTTCTAAATCAGGACTGCATGTGATAACCACCTGAAGTCCTTTCAGAAGCACTGAGGCTTGGGCCCCATTCCAGGGCCACAAAATTGAACCTGTTGCAATGGGGCCTGAATATTGGGACTTTTATCGTTGTTGTTTTGAACAGTTTTATTGAGATATAACTGACATTTAATAAACTACCTATTTAAGGTGTACTCTTTAAAAAATATATAAAATGTCTATTCATTTATATGGCAAATACTGTCCCCTACCAAAAAACAATGATCTGTGAAGCTTAGCTAGAACATTCATGTGTCTCTGTTTTTGTATTATGTGTTAAAATGATATAGGATGCAGGATGAAAAAATCATTTTAATAGGCATTATTAAATAATTTCACACGTATGTGGAATCCTGGAAAAATAGTTAAAATTATAGATGAACATTAAATGTGGGCACATGAATATTCTGTACATAGCAGTGATTTCTGGTACTCGCTTTCTGTGAATCTTTTTTGTTGTTGTTGCTTAGTTTTTATTTCATAATCATAAACTTAACTCTGCAAACCAGCTAGACTTGGAAGGGGTAGGGAAAACATGGAACCCAATGAACTGTGGTGAGAGCACAAAGATTATAGAACATTCCAAGCAGATGGGGGTGAAGTGGTGCTCTCCTGAGCTACAGAAGGAATGGTCTTGTGGTTAAGATAAAACATAAGTCAAACTTATGAGAGATGTCCACAGTCAGTGATGGTAATCTTCTTGCTGGTCTTGCAATTCCTGGACCCCTAGCTCTCCATGGCTGTCACAACATCCATGCTGTGTTTCACCTAGCTGAAGACCACTTGGTTGCCAACCAGCCACTCAGTCTTGGCAGTGCAGATGAAAAACTTGGGAACTGTTTGTGTTGGGTCCGGCATTTGCTATGGACAAGATGCCAGGACCTGTGTGCTTCAGGACGAAATTCTCAGCATCAAACTTCTCCCCACAGATGAACTTGCTGCCTGTGCCATTGTGGCGTGTGAAGTCACCATCCTGGCACATAACTCCTGGAATAATTCAGTGAAAGCAGGAGTCTTTATAACAAAATCGTTTCTCCCCAGTGCTCAGAGCACAAAAATTTTCTGTTGTTTTTGGAACTTTGTCTGCAAACAGCTCAAAGGAGACGTGGCCCAAAGGCTCGCCAACGGCAGCACTGTCGAAGAACACAGTGGGGTTGACTATGGCTGGGCACAGGAACGTCAGAGGTGGCATCGGTGTCTGCAAGGCTGCTTTCTGTGAATCTTTAAAAACCAAATTCCAGCCCTGGCTGGTATGGCTCAGTGGATTGAGTGCTGTTCTGTGAACCAAAGGGTTGCTGGTTCAATTCCCAGTTAGGGTATATGCCTGGGTTGCAGGCCAGGTCCCCAGTAGGAGGAGGCACATGGGAAG